CCTAAACTAAACGCTATAATCCACGCTATGATTATAGTAGTAGTAGAGAGTAAATCTCCTAAAAACCCTAAAAGGAATACGCACTAGGACGCTCTATAAAAAGAGCTAAAATAATAGAAGGATCTCTATAACTACTAAATAGGATAGTAATTTAGAGATGTAGTATATAAAGAAATTAATACTCTACTAAAAGCTAGTACCTAGGAGGAGATTAATAGGCTAACTAAAGGAGAGTATCTACTCCTACTTAAATAGGTATTTACATATAAGCTTAATTAGGATAGTTACCTAATTAAGTGTAAAGCAAGGATAGTAGTAAGAGGAGATCTATAGCTTACTAACTTAATTTATTTAACCTACGTAGCTACCCTAGTAGCTTAAACCTTTAGGACTATAATAGCTATTAGAGCTAAGTTTAACCTTAAGATATATTAATATAACATTGTTAGAGCTTTCCTTAACGCCTTAAGGGATTAATACCCTATAGTTATCTATAAGCTACCTAAAGGATATTAAATACCTAGGAAGTGCGTTAAGCTTAAATAAGCTCTATATAGATTAAAAGACTTACTATTATTATAGTATAATAAGCTCTTAACTACACTCTAAGAAAATAAGCTTATTACTTCTAAAGAGGAGCTATGCCTATTCTTTAATAGAGATTGTAGTATCTTGTTAATATTCTATGTAGACAATATCCTATTGCTCTATTACTAAAACTACGCAAGCTAAGCTTACAAAGTTATCTAAGCTCTAAAGTAAAGATATACTATAGAAGAGAAGGGACCTATAAGCTAGTTTCTAGGGGTAAGAGTAATCTAGGATAGAAAGAGACAGATAATAACACTTATTTATAATAAATACATTAACAAGATTGCAAAGAAATTTAATCTAGTAGAGATAGGAAAATTCCCTACTATACTACTATTAAGTAAAGATATTAAAAAGAGCACTAAAGAAGCCACTAAAAAGGAGATTAAGGACTATTAGGAGCGCGTTAGATTAATCCTTTACACCTTAATTATAGTGCGCCCTAATATTGCCTATGTAGCCTCCTAGCTCTCCTAATACCTTACTAACCTATCCAAATAACACTTTAATGCGGTTAATTAAGTAATCGTCTATCTATACTAAACTTAATACTAATTAATCTAATATAGGAATAGGGATCCTAATAAGCATTTAATTAAAGTAAGGTAGTATATAAGATCTATTAATATATAATATAAAAATAACTAACCACAGCCTACCTCTCTATTATTAACTAGGTAGCTTCCCTAAGGAGCTCTATCACGCGCGCAAAGCGTGCCTTAGAGTCTATAGGGGGCTACCTAGGTTACCCTATCCTAGGATCTATAGGGGGAACCTTAGAGGAGCTAGAGTCCTTATCTTCTAATAAGGAGCTCTAGGCGCCCTTAGCTATAGAAGCAGCCTTGCGCGCAAGCTTAGTAGCAGCAGTAGTAGCTTTTACTAGCTCCTGCTATTTAGCCTTACTCTCCTTAAGGAGCACTAAGACCCTTTGCTTCTTATCCTTAAGAAGGTCTTAGCTCTTACCTACCTACTTCCTTACTAGGAAGGATAGCGTAGAATATTAGGCAAGCTTAAGGCTATTAGTTTATTAGTATAAGATCTTACTAAAGTATTATAAAGGAAAAATTTTTGTATAGATTATATATATTAGGATATAGCTATACCTAGAGGAGCACTACTAGTACTAAGTCCCCCTACTAGAAGAGTTATAGTACTTGCTATTAGACTTATTAAAGAGCACTAAGCGTAGATAATTTAGATAAGTTTTAGTATAACAAATACTAGGCTCTCTATAGTAGGAGGATCTTAAGGTCTCCTTAGGAGCTAGAGAGGGAGTAGGGGTAGGAGTAGGGGCCTTAGGTAGGGTCTAGGGGGGAGCAGGAGCTAAAGTTAGAGCTAGAGTAGTAGGAGCTAGAGCAGGAGCGCCTTACCTTAGCTTTGTAATCTTAGCTATAGTAGTAGTAGCTATATACTTAGCTACTACACACTCTATAATAGCCTTACGCTTAGTAGTAGCATGCTTTTCTTTAGTAGTAGTAGCTTTAGTAACTATAGCTTTAGCTATATAGGAGGTAATAAGGGCAGCGTAGGTAGAGTAAGTATAAGTAGTAGGTTTTAACTTTAACTAAGATATAGGTTAGTAGGAATATAAGTATAGTTTAGATCTTTAGGGTTATATAATCTTATAACTTAAGCTATAGTAAAAGATTATAGTTAGGTAGATAGAGTTATAGAGCTTTATCTAGATAATATCTACGTGTGTAAGCGTAGGCTAAATAAGAAAGGCGCGCTAGTTAGTATCTAAAGGGTAAGCTAATTTAACCCTTTAGATATATAACGCTCTAATTAGCTATACTACCTACTAACTATAAGCGTAACTATAATAATAAAAGATCTACCTATACCTAGGGGGTGTATTATAGGAGGGATATTAACTAGATTATAGAGTATCTTAATCCTAATTAATCCTAATTAATCCTAGTTAATACCCCTATATAACCTACTATCTAATTAACTGCTAGCTTACTACTAAGTGCCTAATAAAAAGCAGGAGCTCTAGTAAGGAAGGTTTACTAATTATTCACCTTCTAGTAAGGGTAGCTAAAGCTCTATATATATAAGTACGATCGTAGTAGATATAATCTAATAATCTATCTCCTAGATTATTCCTAACCTTAGTAATCTAAATTTCCACATCTAGCTAATAACTCTAAATAGGCAGGAGTACTTTAATAGCAACAGATATAACCCGCTGCTGCTATAGGCTAACTAGCCTAACCTTAGAGGATAATAGAAGATAACAATAGCATTAAATAGATTTAAACAATAACAATTATTAACCTTGTAGGAGTAGCTATAGTTTACTATAGACGCAGCGCTTAACTTTAACCTAGTAATAAGCTATATATTATTAATAAACGCGGATAGTCTAAGACTAACTACCTATAGTTAAGTAAGATAATAGGTCCACATCTAGCTTTATAGTACTAGGCTCTTTATACTAACACTATTACTATATAATATACTAGCATTTATTAGGTAAGTATATTATCTATATATTACGCTAGACTATTATTAGACGTACTAACTTATACTAATTACTGCGTAGTTATACTACTTGTATACCTATTTAATTTATATTATACTGCGGTTTTCTAAAAATAAGTAAGGTACGTAGTGGATAGCCTTATAATTACGCGGGTATAGGCTAATAATTAGGTAGTTTTAGGCCTGTTAATTAGGCGGGTATAGGCTATTAATTAGGCAGGTTAGGCCTAGGGAT